CACCAAAAAAACACCCCAAACACATACTGATATTTATATTATAGTAGCACTTACAGCAGTGGTCCCCAAACTTTTTACCTTGTGCCCCCAGTTACCCCGTCTGTGCCCCCCCGCCCGGTGACCCCAGAGCCAGGGCCAGGAGCTCTGGGAAGGGGGGAGATGCAGACATGGGTAAGGGGGGCCGTAGTTGGAGCCATAGCTGAGACGGGGGCAGGAGCACTGGAATGGGCTACCAATGGAGGTGGTGGAATCTCCATCCTTAGAGGTTTTTAAGGCCCAGCTTGACAAAGCCCTGGCTGGGATGATGTAGTTGGTGTTGGTCCTGCTTTGACCAGGGGGTTGGACTAGATGACCTCCTGAGGTCTCTTCCAACCCTAATCTTCTATGATTCTATAAGTGGTGCCTGAGGCCAGCAGCCACAGCCGGAAGCAGAGCCCCAGGAGAGGAGGCAGCAACTGGGACCCTAGGTGCGGGGCCCTGGGAATGGAACAGGGTGGTGCTACCTCCCTGCCCACCATGGGGGCTGGCCCAGGCCACCACCGCACCGCCCTACCCCCCAAATGGGCATGCCCCACACATTGGGGACCTTTGACCTAGAGGTTCTGACCAAAAGTCAGGCCCTAACATGCTAGGTCAGGCACCACATCGTAGGAGACGGTCTCTGCCATGACAAGTTCATAGTCTAAATAGAGGCGCAAAGGGGTGATACGACTTGACCAAGATCACACAGTAGGCCACTGACTGAACTGGGAATAGAACCCTTATCTCTTGACTTCCAGTGTGTTATCCACTAGATAACACTGTCTCTCCCCCTGCTTCACCTGTCGGGCCCAGATAAATACCATAAACTCTTTGATTGGTCAATGCAAAGAAAGAGACTTAGGGCTGACGTTATGCTGTGTAATTACCTCTCATATTTTTATTTCTGATGTTTTAGGATCAGGAGTTGGAAAGCCTGGCAGCAATAGAAGCTGAACTGGAGAAAGTCGCCCACAAGCTCCATGAATTGAGGCGGGGGTGAAGTTCCCCCTACGCATAACATGAGCAAAAGCCAGAAATTAACTCATCCTTTTACACTGCATCTTAAGTTACTGATTCAAAAAGTAAAAAATAAAAAATAAAGACGGAGCAGAAACATTTCGTCCAGGAAGCCAAAATTGCTAGGAAATGACAGGCTTGCCCTCTTTGCAGTAATGTTACACTCATCGTCGGCTTCTTCCTTGATTTCGTGCTCCCTTAGCCACTATGGTTCTCTCTTGTACTCTTTGGATAATTGTATCCCGAGCAGTGTGACTTACTCATGTACTTTCTGTTTGTTTGGGTTTTCCTTTTTCTCTTTTTTAAAGACAGCTTTCTAGAATGTTTTACTTCTACCGTTAGATTCACTGGATAAAAATTGCAATAACGTCTCTTTTGATTAAAAGCTGAGAACTCTGACTGTAATATATTCTATATAAAAATTTATCTAAGGAAAAATAAAACTGTGATGGGTTCCTTCCTTTGCCTTTCAAGCTCCAGCCTCAATCGTCAGTACTGAACTCAGCAAGAGTTTCTCTTTATATGGTGCCAAGTAGAGGAAGTGTTGAAGTCTCCACTAGTACCATGAAAAGAGTTCAGTTAACCTCCAGGTTTTGCATAGGCTTCCATCAGCATGAAACAACGGAACACATCAAGACTGCCACAGGGCATAAAGTAATTCAGCCCCCCCACTCACAAGCTGCACAGTGGTCAGGAAGTATGGTGATAGGCAACTGTACAAACCCCGAAGATAAAATGGAAAAAGGCCATTCATGCTAAGAAAAGCACAGGGCCCAATCCAATCGATCGACTTCAGTGGGGGATACAGAGCAAGGCCCAGGATCTATAGACCTAAAACACTAAGTTAAGCAACGTGAATATAGTTAGACGTTTAAGGAATTGGTCAGCCTGGGGATTAAAAGGAAGTAATCTGGGGAGCATGTGAGACTCCTGTAAGTGAATTTTTAAACCCCAGTAAATATGAGAATGTAATGTTTGTATTTGCAGAGAATTAAACTATTGAAAGTCTTCCAGCAACAGTAAAAGGCCCAGCCTTAAGGAGTCTAATTCTAGTTTCAGTCACTCTGATCCCCAGGAAGCTGGACAACTTCAATTATAACTAAGAGCAGAATTTAGGCCAAGGTGGTCACAGAATTCTCTCGCCGTCTGTGGGCCAAATTCTAGCCTCAAGACGCACATGTACAACTTCAAACATTTCAGAGAGCATCCCAGGAGTGTAACTGAGTACATATTTTGTCCTCTAAGGGTCCCACTACACTACAATACACCCATGCAGGGTCAAACAAAGCTAAGGACAGGGTGGTACATCATGCCAGCACTTCTACCATAGCCACATCAGATTCTATAAAATAAACTTTTACCTTACAGCCACAAAGGCAACCTCTCAAACATGACTTGAGGAAGCAGTGTCTAACTGAGTCTACAGTACGGCAGTCAAACTACAGCTCTAAAAGGGTTGAACTGTCCCATTCATCTCAATGGGTAACTCTGAAGCTCATGCTCCAATACATCTGTTAGTCTATAACGTGCCACAGGACTCCTTGTTGCTTTTTATAGTTAATTGATGAACATCATTTTAGCATACGCATCAAGCTAATCTGGAATTGTGGATAGAGTTTAGGAAAAGTTCTTTTTTTAAAGACACCCCCTCGCCATCTGACCCCAACCCCATATTACAATAACCAGAAGAGCAGGCTAAAACAATGTTCCAATCTGTGGCAGACACCTCTTGCCTGTGTTTCACACCCAGATACAGTCTTGCATGTGCCTTAGGCTGGTTAGGGAACACTGTCATGGAAGTGTGTTTTACCCAAATCAAGGTACAGTTTTCTTGTAGTCAGAGACCCCCATTCAGTTGTTCCTAGTATAGAGAAAGCTAATTTTCCCACTGCCCTAATTGCAGTACAAATTTTTTTTTTAAAAAGATACATCTGGTACAACAAGTACTTTTTTTTTGTGATATACCATCTGTGACTCCCTTAGTCTATTAATTTTATTTTTTGTACATGGATTTTTACCCCACGATCTGGATTGCATTGCAGTTAACCTCGCTAGTTAAATTCCATGCTTTGTTTGGGTAAAAGGAGCCTCATTGTTATTATTTATGTTGTACCAGTGCCTAGTGTCTCTATCCAAGACCAAGGCCCCACTGCATTAAGTCCTATACATGCACATCATGGGAGAGCCTGAAGAACTTACATTATAGATAGGCATGACAGACAAAAGAGGGAGAGGAAAGAGCGACACAGGGAGGGTAAGTGACTTGCTTAAGGTCACACACAGGTCTGTGGCTGACCCGGAAATAGACCCCAAGACTCCTGACCCCTAGTCCAGTGTTCTGTTAGCCCACAGGGCCATATCAATTATGAAAATGATTTTAGAGAAGAAATCAGTGGGGTTCCATAGAAATGATTCTAAAATGCTATGGACTATTAGAGGGTTATAGCTTTCATGTAGGATTTTTGTTTTAAACCATCCTATGAAGTTCTTAGCAGAGATTGTAAATTCTTTGGGACAAGGTTTGTGTGGACAGTGCCTAAAACAATGCCGGTGCTATTAGAATATAACTATAATAATAATTTCTATAGAATGGCTCAAAAAACCCACCGAAAGGTGGCTGTTTTCTATTAAATTCTACAGGACCTTTCCATAATGGTAGCTCAGCAGAGATAATTAGTTTGTTGGGGTATCAATGGAAAGAAGAACAAATGTTGTTTTGAGAGAATCCTACAAGATAAAGAGGCTTGGGAGAATTTGATTTTCATTTTTTAAATAATTTCGATAGATATCAACGTTTACTTTTAAGCATTTTGTTCAATTTTTATTAATTTAAATTTTCACAGTTGTGGGAAATTATGGGAGGAGCCAGACAATTATTATTTAATGCCAGTAGTTGTTGAGACTCAAAAAGTAAACGTTTTATAACCATTAAGGCACAAAATTGTCAACATCACATTTCAAAATATACAAAATAAACATCCTTAAACCAAACGCTAAATTCTCAAGCAGTATTTTTCCTACTTTGCCTATCAGTACATTTTGATCATCATCAATGGAAAATTTTTTTGGGGGGTCAGTTTGTGTATGAACAGTGAATTGACATTTAAAGATACTAAATGTCTGTTCCTAAAGGTACATATCTTTTTTTAACCAAGTAAAAAGCAATAAAAGGTATTTAGAATTCAGAGAATTTCCCTCATCTGAATAAATCTATTTTTAAGCTATACTAGAAAACAAACAAAAAAAGTCATTATTTGCTGACTGTTGCCACAGATGAGTTAAAAATACCCAGTGTTAAGGAGAAGAAGAAATGGAGGTAAACTCAGACACTAGTATGGGGCTGTTGGTAAATGCTCAGTTGTACTGGACAGTGTCCCATTAATTCGCCAATTAAGGGACTCATGCTTATAGAATAAACTGAAAAGTACACAAGGAAATAAGACACAGATTTTATTTCATGCAGGCCCTGTTCATGCTTGTAACAAGAGCCATGTTTAAACAATGTTTGCTACTTAGCAATGTTGTAACATCCCTGCCAGCGTGGACAGGGATTTTTTTCTGTGGCCAAATTATGCTATTCATTACTTAATGCCCAGCAGAATTTAATAACAGGTTTCTCAGACCACAAATTTCATCTCTACTACAATCAAGGGAAAACCACACTAAAGCACTACCAATCAACAACCATAAACAACGTTGTAGCTAACATGACTCCGACTGTATTGAGGGCCAAACCTCAGTGAAGTTTGATGCATATCCTACTTTCCCATCAGTCCTACTAGGGGAAAAAACCTCCCTCATTAGCAATGGCAATACAAGTAGGTCCACAATTATCAATCAAAATAACTGGAAGTTTGGAAAGGGAAGAGGAAGATATTAGATGTGGAAACCAAAGTCCTGCAGGTGAATTTCCCATAACCACCTTTCCCCCTTCCCACTCATTAACAGAATGCAAGATAAGAGATGTTGTAAGGCATTTATTTCATTATGTGTTGGAAAGGGACAGTTGTGTCTCCAAAACAGTTACAGAAATAACAATACAATATGTACTGCATATTATTCTACTGTTAAAATCAAAATAGTGTCCATCACAGGTGCTTGGCAAATGAGGAAAAGGGGTAAGTTGCCACTGAAATAAATGGTACCAGAGAGAACAAAGCACCATCTTCATTGTCATCATCACATGTATTCAGTCATGCAGTATAAGTAAAAAGCCAAAGAGTAAATACTTTTGGTTTTTACAATAAGCCATGAATTTTTCTCTTTTATATATTTATATACAAATTAAGTACAAAACTGGTTTTATTTTTCATAAGTCATTTGTGAACAGGACTGAAGCAAATCACAAAAACATACTTGTTAACACTATAAAGCTGGTTCATGTGTGGACATTACTGTACTTGTGAAACTCCGCACCCCCCCCCAAAAAAATGGTCCCAAAAACTGATGGCTTTGGACTGGAGACACTGAATTTTAAACATGCCTAAGAGGACAACAAAGGGGGTATACAACTCCATTCACACAGGAAGGGATATTTTTTTAAAGCTGTAGGATTTTAAGGGATTATTTGTAGGGAGAATGACTGCATTTCAGTGGGACGTGTGGTTCTCACAGGGATATGCAGGAGCTATGTAAAATACCAAATAAATGATCCAAAGAAATAAATAATTAAAAAAAATACATCTAATACATTTTATTGTTTTTTTTAACAGCACTGACTTTTTACAAGAGATAAACAACTCTCTCATTCTTTTGGGCTGCTAACATCTCAAACATAGGAGTCACTATTTTATACTTACATAGATGTGCCCTTTTATAATTTTAATATATGTTTAGATATATATGCCTTTTCACATACAAGATTGTTAAATTAATTTATATCTGAAAACTACTGTAGAAGGAATGGAAGATAAAGAAAATACAATATGGATTTCCTTTAAAGGATTAACAGGAAGACCTGATTTCTATGAGCTCTATTCATTAGCAATTATGGCTGATTCTGGAGTTTTCCAGGGCACCAATGAAACAGCCCATCAGGAGCTACAAGCCAGCAAAGGGATTTGGATTCTTGTTATTCACCATCCTTCCCTGTGCAAATAATGACAAATTGGCTCAAGCCACAGTTCCAAGTCCATGTGACACCATCAGACTATCTCTGTCTCTCGCACACGCACACACAATCTTCTTATAGTGACGTCGTTGTCTTCCCACTACAGAAAAGCTTCACAGTAAGCAGAAGTTCAGTATAAATCAAACAGCAACCAAACATTGCTATGTGCTGCAATACTCCATAACGTTCACTCTACTTTACTATAGATTTCACTGCACTATTTAGAACCAGATTCACTTAAATGTATTTTAAAACTCTAACCACATGAGAACTTGTTGAATCTAGTGCAGATATAAACAGACACATGCAGTCACGAGTTTAGCTTTTGGTGGCCTAGATCCATAGAGTGGGTGGGGGAAATGAAGGTGCAAAAGGATCTATTCTGGTGAGTACATCCCTATGATACTGGTATTAAAGCAGCAGGTACAAATAAAATCAACAAGCTGATCTGGAAGACAGAGAAAGTGTGAGTGTGTGTAAAAGGAGATTATATTAAAGGAAACATTTTAATCTACACTGAATGTTTTCTCCAACTTCTAATTTTTAAAAAGTATTGCAATACTGTGCATAATTTACATGTAAAGGCTATAAAACAATATAGCAGTTACTAAAAAGGGAGGGGAAAAGAAAAGAAAATTAGCAAAGGTAATGCAAGTAAATTACCGCAAGTGGCACAGGGATAACTGTGACAAACTATGTACTAGAGTTTATTCATTTAAAAAAAACAAACAAAAAAACACACACACACCACCAAGATTTTCTGCACAGCTGTGCAGGCTTAGAGCTGCTAGCTAGTTTGGAAAAAAAAACAAAACAAAACAAAAAAACAAAAAACAGATCCACTTGACACTACTACCACTCTCACAATTTGTGAAGCAAATGTTTGCCTAAAAACTGAGAAGTCTGGAAAGAATCAAAGATTATTTTTTCCAGAGATATCTAAAGCTTTTGGCCAGTTTTACTCTGTTGCCTTTTGGCTGTATCCTGATACAGATTTCTGTGCAAAACACCAATTGCATGTTTCATGATACAGTCCTAAATTATCTGAAGAATTTTGGGGTTTACCCTGGGAGAGCCTTAGCACCTGCAACTCTCACTGAAGTCTCAGGGCTTATCTACACTGGCACTTTATAGCGCTGCAACTTTCTCGCTCAGGGGTGTGAAAAAACACCCCCCCCCCCGAACGCAGCAAGTTTCAGCGCTGTAAAGCGCCAGTGTAGACAGTGCACAGCGCTGGTAGCCGCGCTCGTGGAGGTGGTTTTTCTGTGCCGTGACTACAGAAGCCACGTTAAAGCGCTGCCTTGGCAGTGTAGACTAGCCCTTAGGGTCAGGCTCTTAATGTGTATTCACCTACTTAAAAGAAAATGAAACAAACAAACAAAAACCTTATCAGTGGTTTTGTTTCTGCAACCTGTTGCAGAAGATTACACCAAAATCTAACAGATCTCCTACATACAAGTGCACATGCATTTAGAACTGGGATCTTTGAACCACTTTATCATTCAGATTTTTAAAAAGCCTAGATTTACAAATCAACAGTCTACAAGCTACAAGAGGCATCCTATAAGCCAGCCAGCCCAGTCAGTCAGCATCTAAAGCACATAGGTTTTGTATATCCAGACATGTGGACAAAACAAAAGGAAAAATGCCCTAGTCCAAGTGTATGTTCCATTTCACTAACCATAACCACTGATCATCATCACAGTTAGGTTGCATTTTAAAACTGCACTTTGAATAAAGCAGTATGTAACTTCTGAATGATTTACCATTACAAATCAAAGCATAATGTGGCAAAGCAAGCCGGTCGGGTGGATAGATGGATAAATGGTAACGGTTTTCCATTACAGGTTATTCTAATACCATGCAAGTATTCTCTACATAAAGGCAAATCTTGATCTTTGAATTGCAAAACTATAATTGGATTCAATAGGATCAAGATTTTGACCTTCACAGTCAATTCTGCTCCATTTAAACAAGAGTAAATGTGGAGAAAGGCCAATGAAGTTAATAGTGTTACTGCAGATTTTACAACAGTTAATAGGACAGAATTTGGCCCATTTTGGATAACAGTTGACCATTCTAATTACCGTGGAAATGATATCAATCCATACAATGATAAGTATGTAAACATCTGAAACCACAGCAGAATCTCACTAATTCACACACCCTATAATTCACATACACAAAACAGTGGTCTCTCCCTAATTCTCAGGAAAGTTTTAATAGCAAGGACACTATAGTGAGGTCTAATATTACTAAGACTTCATTACTTTTATAAAATATACTATAGAATATTAACTAGTTTACTATGAAGCATCATCATAACTAAAGCTAGTCTACACTTGCCAAATAAGGCACTGATTCAGCAAAGCACTTAAGCACTTGTTTAAAGTGATGCATGTGTTTAAGTGTTTTCCAGAATAGGGATGGACTTAAAACATGCTTAAAGTTGAGCACACGCTTGAATGTCTTTACAGTGAAGTAATCTTGGGTGGTTTGTTTTGTTCCTTGTTTTGCTGCATTTGTTCGTGTACTTGATACATGAACACACATTTCAATAGTTCATCATTGGTCTCCCAGCTGTTCATGTGAATTAGCAAAATTATACTGTGTGAGTCAATCTGAAGAAACATATCACGATTGTAGCTACTTGAAATTGTAGCTACATGCAGCTATCTGGAAATCCCATTGTAATGCTATGTCATTAAAGAATATTTGCATGATATTTGTGCCTAGTAAATTAAAGTGATACCAATAATCTAGCTAAATAAAAATAAATTATAGAATTTTGGAAAGACCCTGTCAGGGATCATGCTAGTGAACTAAGCTTATTTTCTAATTATTGCCAAGGTCTGGATTATACTTAAATAGGTAAAGTATCTTGTAAGGCTTCAGAGAATTACAAAATAAACTTTTTAACAATCATTTGTAAACAAGTGTAAAATGCACAATTGTATTTCAGTAGTTTATTTTGGAGAAATAAAGCAGTGCAAAATAGGCCAACCAAAATTCAGAAGGTAGCCAGGGAAAATAAATTCTTATTCAATGTTATAACTAGGAAACAGCATACAGACATTTTAACTGGATCCAACACTCTGATTCACGTAAACACAGTTAGTTTGAAAGGTCTCGTGTTACTAAACCATATTAAGCATCACTTCTTTTCCTCCCACCACCACCCATTACATTTTTTCCATTTTAATAAAGGAAGCAAATGGCAAATCTATAAACATTCCACCCACCAGTTACACAAGAGTACCATACAAAAATACACACTGGTGGGTTCCTTCCTGAGGGCATCTTTGTTTTACTTGAAACATAAAAAGATCTCAAAAAAAACCTTTCGATGTCTATTTTATTTCAGTCTTGGCTCTAGGAAAGGTTTGATCAATCATTGTTATAAGTCCATAACTATGGTTGTCCTCCTCACTCCCACCCCTGCCACCTGGGACCTACAACATGCAGTAAACGGTGGGATTCAGCAATTATTCAGCAGCCTCAATGCATACTAGGGTTATGACAGGTGCCCAATTCAGAATTGATTTGTACACAAATCCAGGAACTTTGCTGTATTCGTGTTTCATACAAATCTGACTCCGAAATCCCAAAGACAAATGACATTCCTTATGGAACAGTCTTGTAGAATTTAACAGAAATGGATAGCCCCTCCCCTCCAATAAAACCCTATAGAAAGGTTAAGAGTGATTTTTACAGGAACCTATAGGACTTCTCCATGAGGGATGGCCCACCACCATATGGCAGTGAGCATTTTTCAAATGGTTTGGCTCACTCCTCCCTCCCTGTCTTCCTGCTCTGGCTACCTCCACTATCCTAAGGTTGTGTTACATCCCCTACCTGCTCCTTCCCTCCACAGTGGCTATCAGATACTAGAATAGTTGATGCTACGGTGTTATGGTGATGCATGCTCTATAAATGCTTAACATAGAAAAACATGGAATTGTCACATCCCAGAGCTTTTGTAATAGCATCTCCGTGAACATATTTTAGGGATTTCTTAAAGATGGAAAGGCCGTGAGCCCCATAAAAATAATGTGTATGCTTGAAACCTGCTTTTACAGCATTGACTGATTCAGTTACTTCCGATTTAGTGTTCACGATTGACAAAAGCTGCAGGAAATTTAAAAGGACAGAAGATGCTGCCATGTTGCAGGAAGAGAAAATACATTTTAGTTTTGCTACGGTATCTCAACTGTAATGTATGATCAGCCTGTGCTACAGTTCACAAACGAGTACACCCACTACTCTTGTAATTTACCTGCCTAGCCTCCTCTGGCAGTCCCAGATAGTAACAGTCTCTAAATCAGAAAAACTGTCACAAATCATAACCTACACAAAACCCTGCTCGCTCCAATTTTGCTCATGTTCAATCACTGTTGAGAGCAATGATTTATGCATAGCCGTGTATTAATGGAGAATAGTGGCTACAAATCTGAATTACACATGTATTTACAGGATGTGCAAGGCTGGTGTACTACTCTGTGAAAGTAAAAATGGATCCATTTGCTAGCCCTCTAGCAAAGCATTCCTGCACTTTGCCTGAGTGAAATGGAAGGACAATTATTTTCTCGGCTAAAGAATAAGCTTTAGGGTCTCATGGCCAGCCAAAAGTACAAAGAGCAGTGTTTTATCTACCAAGACACCCAACTCCCACTAGTAGTATGCATCCTTTGCTTTTAAAACTCAAGCCTTGCTGGATCAAAAAAGATTCTTTACTGCCATGGTAGCATTCTTGTGGCAAAATACAATTTGAAGCTTCCTTTATCTTAAGCAACTCGGTTCAAGGAAGAGAACCCCTGAATTGAAACTGCAGTCTCCACCTCAGTTTTAAACAGGACGGCAGCTGCAATCTGTTTTGAGCCATCAAATAAGGTGCAGCCCTACTGCCCTCAGCAAGTTGCCAATGAAGCTCTGGGCACACCTATTCTGCTGATACTGAAGCTTTTTTAAATGTTCTTTTCAAGGGTCCAGCTGGAAAGAGGGAATGGGAAGTACTCTGGAAAGGTGAAAATCTCTAGCATTGTCACGCACGCCACGTCAACTATAATTCTTTCCAGTTCCATGAGGTCTGATTTTAAAATGCTGGTCACTGGTGATTACAAATAAAATCTAAAACGAAACGCAAAAGCAACCCTCCCACATTAAGGTCTAGTGTTAAAAACACAAGCATGTGCAAGCTCACTACAGATTTGCAACTGGAATCTGAAGAAATGTATCCAGATCATTTTTCTTCCCCACTCCTTTTCAGATAATTTCATCAACAAATCGTGTTAAATCAATAGAAATTTGTTACAGCCTGCTCTGATTCTAGGACCGTGATTTGACTCCCCACGGCTTTTCCTCAGTCCATGGTGTTGTCTGGCTATTGAGAGGAAGCTTTTGTTGCCAACGTGGCAACGCAGTGCTGCTGAAAGCTGGGGGACACTGCAGAGTTGCAGCCTAGTCTCTGGTGCTGCAGCTTTACTGAGCTGTTGGTCTCACTTTCCACAATCCAGGAGGAGTCTTTTCCCACCACGCTTCGGCAGCCTGTACTAGCACAGCATGTCCGCTCCCCTACTATGCCGCCGGTCTGCTCAGCCAGGAGTTTGCTGAGGTTTAGCTGGGTCACCTCCGGTGTCTGGCCCTGCAGGACAGCAGCTATGTGGTTCAGGAGGTCTGTGAAGAACTCTGCAACACCCTCATAACCTGAGAAAGAGAGAAAAGCAATGCCATCAATTCCATCTTTCCATTTCACTGGCCTTGTGTACAAGTCTCCCTTCTCTTACCCCTTTCCCTGCATGCACACACACACACACCTTCCCACAATAAAAAGTGGACTTTATTTTTCTGGGCACCATTTGGTGCACACAACTAATTGCATAAGACAGACACCTGACTGCACCCTCAAATAAGCTAGTTAAACATCTACATGCTAATTAACTGCAGAAGCCAAACTCCACCTCCCACACCCCGCAAATAGATATCGGGTTGATGCTCTTAAAAAATGGCTCCCCTCATTACTTTATTTCTAGTTACGTAGGGTTACCATCCATCCATATTTCCCCGGACATGTCCGGCTTTTGCGTCTCTAAATAGCCATCCGGGAGGAATTGGTAACAAGGTTAAAATGTCTGGGTTTTTTTTCTCCCTCGCCTCCCTCCCTCCCTTCCATGCAGAGTGCGGCTGCTGATTGGGCGGCTGGGCTGATTGAACCGCTCCCGTTGGCCTCCAGCAACCAGAGCCCTCCCCTGCTCCCCCCTCCCTCTGCCTGCAGCCCTGTGTAACACACAAACCGACCCACTGGGCAGCGTGTTTTGCAAACACATGGAGCCAGAATGGTAAGGGGAGTCGGGGGGGGGGACAGTCAGGGAGCGGGGGAGTGTTGGATGGGTCCCCGGCCTCCACCTGCCACCCCCCCCTCCGCGCATCCGCCCCTGTGGAGTCCCCCCTCCCTGCCTGCCTCTCCCTTGCCTGCTTGTACTGCCAGAGCCAGCAACAACTGCTATCTGCTGCCCCCGGGTCCTAGCGTCCCCCATCCACTAATGGGATGACAGGCTGCCCTTACCCTGCCCTTCCACCCTAGCCCTGAGCCTCTCCAACGCCCAAACCCCTCAGCCCCAGCCCTGATCCCCCCGCACCCTAATCCTCTGCCCCAGCCCTGAGCCTCCTCCTGCATCATGAACCCCTCATCTTCAGCCCCAACCCTCATCCCCCCTTACCCTAATCCTCTGCTCCATCCCTGAGCCTCCTCCTGCATCATGAACCCCTCATCTTCAGCCCCAACCCTCATCCCCCCTTACCCTAATCCTCTGCTCCATCCCTGAGCCTCCTCC